TTTTATTATTACATGAGTTTTAAGAGCTCCGTCAGTATTCAAAATTTTGATATATATATATATATATATATATATATTTTTTTTTTTTTCACAAATACACGGTGTGCGTAATTTGCGTGACAGGTTAAATAGCGTGGACAGGATATATAGGGAAGTCAAAACAAATGGACGTTTAAAACAATGGAGATCTTTAAACACACTGACATTTTTAATAAAGTACGTCTAGAATGCTTTATGATGTTTATTACGGTCTGCGGTATTCGCGTGACGGGATAAATAGTGTCGATAAATAGGGATGCCAGAACAAAAAAAAAAAAAAAAACAAAAAAAAAAAAAACAATAAAGTTCATTTTGTTCGATGTTATGGATTTCTACCCCTCTGTATCAAAAGATCTACTTATGAACAGCTTGGAATGGGCGAAAAATTCACGCTAATAACAGGACCGACTTCTGGTTTAACCCGCCTTTCTCAAAAACGTTAAAACACGAATTGGTAATATCTTTCTCCAGTTGTTAGACAAACATTACCCTAGGGAAAGCAGACTCAGCCGAATATCCAATAGATCTACAGTTGAGGTTAGTTACAGTTGCAGCAAATTATTCAGGACCATAATTAAAAAAAATACATGTCTGTAAATACGCAAGAGAGAAACTGCAAATGTAGATTGCCAAACAAGTGCACTTTGCGAGGGGAATGTTGGTCTAGCAGCATCGAACAGCAGTTACTAAAAATAAAGTTATGAAGTATATGACCTTTGTGGTGGGCAATTCAAATTAAGATTTTACAACCACACTAAATTATTAGGAACAGAAATACTCAACAGACACTGAGCTATCAAAATATATTTGGGCCTAAGACATAAAGTGGGGCATCATAAAAAAAATCTGTAACAGAAAGGAGGAACCAGCTCCTATGCAACCTTTATCTAGACGAAAACCTGTTAATTGTGTTTACGTCAGATACTTTAAATAAAAGAGCAGAAGTTTAAACCACAAAGTGTCGTAACTACCACGACATGCGACGTAAGTAACACAGGGGCGGATCCAGAGCCATTTACTGACAGTATTCCATATTTTCTATGTTGATTCATCCTCCAATTCTGACCGTCTTCCAACAGAAAAAATTAGATACCCGTCAATGTAAACGTGAAAATCTGACCGTCTTCCGGAAGACCCAGAAGACGGCCTAAATCCGCCCCTGTAACATTACGCCGTTGAAACCGTTTGACAGTATTATTATTATTATTATTATAACTTTCGCAGCACCATTTAACAAACATCATACAGTACCTCCGGTTGATTCGTTACATTTCCATCCCATTTATACTTCCAGGGTCAAAAATAACAGGTTAGTAGTGTTCAAATCTCCCAGGCATCGTTCACGGCGCTAAGAACAGCGACAGTCAATCAACACGTTTGATGACTTGGATATTAATGTTTACCTACTCCATCGTTAACAAACAACACCAATTACTTACCTATTCAGTGATTTGGTAGCTGACAGTGTCTATTGCCTCTTCTAGTCACCGTCAAACAAACGTAGAACTGGTCACTTGGTTCTACCAACCGCAACAATGATACTGTTGCATCGTCACGTGTCGCACGGTCCACATGTTTTGCTGTACCGGGTGATTATTTTCAAAACAGGACGAAAGAGTAATATGTCAACGCAAATGAAATTCTGCGTCTATCTGGGGGTGAGGGGTTCTTAGTGAAACCTCACTCAACTGGTTTTAACTGACGAGTAACACACCCAATGTCAGCGTTTTATACGCTTCTTCCGTGGTAGGGGGCGTGGCCACCACTGTCGATCAAATTGTGGCTCCTTGAATGGACAATTATTAAACTTATCGTTAATACACGTGTTTTAGAATTGGCAATTGACAATTGGTAATATAAACTTCCATGATTACATTTTAAATTATAGCTCTATAGCGGACTAGACATTTGGAGCACTTTGGCAATGTAAACTTGTATTAGTTATAGTATAATACAGTCGTAATGATCATCACAGGTTGGTTGTCATGGGCTCCGTAACTCGAAAACATCGCGTATTGCGAATGGCGATATCACATAGAGACTAAAATGTATTATATGGGGCGAGTATGGGCGAGTTATGGAAACGAGACGCTTGCACTCGGTCGCAATGCGCGATGTTTTCGAGATACGGGACCATGAATCGCCATGCCTCTGGATCTTGTGCCATTCGTATGCTTTCGCTTTATTTTTGATTTGTCCATTCTTTTATGTTATCCATACACGTTATACTTGGCCTTCCCTTCCCTCATTTCCCATTTAACTATCCTTCTAATAACAGCCGCTGCAAATTATCATTTCTCTTGATGTAACCAAAATTATTTTTATTTTCTATTTTGATGGTGTCCAACAATGATCTTTTTTATTTTCAGATAATTAAGTACTTTCTCGTTACTTTTGCTTTCTGTTCATGATGTTTAGAACATTTTTCTATGTACCCACATTTCAAAAGTATCACAATAATATGTTATATTTTTTACCGATCTTTGAAAGATTTTTCTACGACGGCCATTCGTACTTCTCTGAACCGCAGCCAGATGTTTTGCCCAGAAACGATGTTGTCACCTGGTAAAAATATATGTATGTGAAGTAGGCTTCAAGTGCCATTATGTGCCATTCACTTCAAATCGCTGTGTCAGTTTAAACCATTTTAAAAGGGAGTATCTGAGTGATATGTACTTGATCAACTTCCAGCACTTGTCGGTATCAAGTTACGAGCAAAGCTTGACAAAATACAACCATGTAGTTCTATATGGTAGAGCAGTTTGCTAATTAGATGCTACTATTTGCTACTATTTTGCCCGGTTTCATTTTTTAACAATTAAGTGTAAAGAAAACAAAATATGGCAAGATCGTTTCAGCTCATCTTTCTTTCTCTCTCTTTTTCTCTCTCTCTCCAAGCTCAATTTTAGGAAAACATCCCTATTTAGTTCTCTCTCTCTCTCTCTCTCTCTCATGCGTGTTCTGACTGACAACAATCACTTATGTTATTGATACGACAACAGCTATCGATCTTACCACGGCTTAATGCAGTTTCACCTTTATTTGCCTAATGCCCAGGACAAATTGCCCAATTGACATTCAGAACTCATCAATCAATGGCAAAGGGCAGTTCATTAGTTCGCTTTGGTCGCGATTGTTAATACATGTAAGTGCGTTCTGAGAAATAAATAGATAGGAAAAGGTTCATCTAAGGTACATGTTGTCCATGTGTATATTAATTAGCAATAAATAAATAAATATTTCAACTTTAGTCGTGTTATGGTTTTTTAGTTTTTAAATACATTGGCTTTTCTTTTACGCTTGTGTTTGTCTTAGCTTGGACATTTTAAAGACTTGATATTTTATACAACCATCTTGATTTCAGCTCATGTTTAAACAAGACGAGGTGAAATGTTTGGAGCACTATAGGGATCTTGGAGGACGGACGTAGCGGAAATGGTGCTGACATCGGCACAAAGAAAAACATTCAAAGAAAGAAGAGCTCGCTTCATAAACACCGGGGAATGCTCTATTGCAACATTAAGTCTCTCTCTTGACATTCTAGATACTTAAAGTCTTCTTACTGTATCTGTTTAACCCTGGGCAATCACCTTTTTGAACTGTATCTTTGTTTTATTTTATAAACAATTAGAGAATCGATATGTTGAAAATAAAGAACGATGCCAACATCTAGCATCTTGGGCTTTGAAGACGCCGTGAATGAAAACAAAATGTCACATTAAGGGGCTTGGTGTCATTGACACGAATCTCTTTGTTTTACTAGAAAAATCATAAAGTTCAAAGCTCTTTAGTCCATGTAGTCAATTTTGATTTTATGTTCGAGTAGCAGAAGTGATTTTTCTGGAAAACAGTATGGCTATATTGATAGGACCTACACGCACATACGACGGAATGTATCCAAGCGTGCCGTTTACCCTTTACTTATAAATAATTACAAAGATGGATACTGTAACCAATGTGACCCAACAAGGTTGTATTTTTATAATGAACCAATCCCAGAACATACTCTGTGCAGACCAACTTCAAAATTCCTCAGCCAAGGGTAGCTTTTCTGCTTGCCCGAGCGTGGCGGGATTAAGTCACTTTTAAAAATCATCTTAATCCTGCTTCCGGTGTTACTATGTGTATTCTAAAATGAGAGAAACAGAATATATTACAGTTTAACACCAATGTCGCCGCGTCGGCCCTCAAAATCAAAAATGGCGCACGATGCAGTTACGCAAACCTCAACAAAAACGACGTGACCGCTCTCCCTCAACGGCTTGCCATTTTTTGCGGAAGTAACGCACTTCTATGTGTGCTGTATGGCCCCTTTCAGAATAGAGGACTAACTAGTCCGAGTGTCAAATATGGCGACCCACTACAAATCTCGCCGTCTAATCCTCTACTAGACACTAAATAGATTTTCCGATGGGAAGTATTCAAGTGGGTCGGCCATATTTAGCCTTGGACTAGTTAGTCTCCTATTCTGAATGGAGCCTATTATACTGTATACCAGCTATAGCCTGATTCCCTACATGATGACAGTGTCTTGTAAAAGCTTGTCACTGTAAAAATTCATACTCATGTACAAAATGAATGGGGTAAACAGACATATTTTTCGATTAACTAAAATTTGACCTTTTCCTGGCACTTACCATAACTCTGTAAGAAATTGGGAAAATTTAAAAATCCATTACTTCGCTAAAACGATTCCTTCAATTATCTACATATTATAATAAGTCGCCCAATTTTTATAACTGCAGAGCGAATTACGAGAGAAAAAATATCTTCCACTTTGTCTCCCCTCCATCTCAACCGGGCTGCTATACCTACGTTCATGTATATGCGCACTGTACTACATGGTAAATGTGCATTTGTAGATAAGTCCTGAATGCGACATTCTTGACGCAACATACCCGTGGCACTCATTTTAAAGCAACGTGGCCTAAATAAGCCAAACTATCAGTTGGAGTCGGCAAAGATAATGAAACGCGTCCTTCGCAACTCTCTCGCACTCGCGTTACATTTCAGAGACGTTGTCTGAGATGGGAACCATGGACGTGTACATCCATATTCTGTTACTCTGTGTATTATTGACGTCATGCATGGCTGGTAAGTTTACACATTGATCCCAGTTTAACTTTGTCTGAATCTTTTGGCAAAAGACAAGCTGTTGCTGCATGGGTTGGTGCTGTGTAAAGACCTGTCCCCGAAATGTAAGTGAAAACGTGTGCAAGGTTAAGAGACCGTTTGTTTAATTAACTTCTTGGAGCACGTTGCATGAGGACCCTTCAAAGAACATTTCAATTACTGGGAATGTTATACCCCAGGCTTAAACGCTGGATTTGACAAATATTCCACAAATCAGCTTACTTCGTTTTTTTTAGTCTTAAATCTAAGCCATGAGACAAATAGTCTATTTTCTATTTGCCTTAGTGCTACGATTTACTCATTACTGTGGCAGATTTCTTAATGACATTATTACACAGAATTAATGACCAAACCTATGGGAGCTAATCGTTTACAAAACTGCCTTAGACTGCCATAGGAACGCTGACTTTCGATGTTCAAAAACTTTCTACAGCTCATTAACTACTCACAAACTATAGTTTGAAACTTGAGCTCATTAGCAACACCAGTCTCACGCGAAAGCATACTCATGCCTACCACTCGTGTTTCTGCATCGAAATTGACCATCAGCGCAGCTAAACAGGCCGAAGGTGACAGAACAAAATGCGTTGTGTAAGGACCTTTTAACTGTTGTTTCTGTTGGCATGGCTGTGCAGTATACAATAAAACACACCACGTGTTATAACGTAACCATAGCAATTTTTGTCTATATAAACGTTATGGAAACGTTATAATAACGTTTTGTGTTTGTTGGGATGTAGCTACTTGTAGCTCCTTGGTAATTTTCAAGGCGTGAATAATTCAAATATTATATTACATGTTGGGCTCGGTGGAAAGGAGGATAGATGGTAATATGTTAGATCATCTTTCCCCTTACTTTGCATTTGTTTTTGTCTTGATTTTGTTTTTACAATATGGTGGTTCTGCTGCAGAGAAGGAGGTATAAGACGTGTCTTTGAAGGCTAGCCTGTGACCGTTAATTTGCACACAAGCTACCATGTCCGGCACAACAGTAATGGAAAATCATTTGTTAATAATATTTTTAAATCCTCATATTATTAACTCAACCGCAGGGAATAAACATCTTGGGGTCTTTGTCTCAATGTAAAACATGGTGATATTCAGCATGTGCAAGTAGCTTTAGATTATATTTAACAGCTTAGAAGCTCAAATATTACTGTCCTTGTTTCAAGCCTATTAATTCGTACGGTGTAGATAGGTGTCAGGGACCACAGTATTGGAAAAATATGTAGAAAATATTTTAAATACTGTGGCCCCTGATATCCCGAGACACAAATCACTGTCGGTGACTTAACCTTGACCGTAGATCCGCCGCACGCTGTCATTCACCTAAGGCGGGTTGATATTGCTGATAAAACAAGGTACTCGAAATTCTGAAAGTAAAGATACGCTGTCGTCGAGCAAGAATTCATCGCGGGAAAGAATTCGGGGGGGGGGCTAGACTGGGGGGGGGGGTAGACTGGGGGGGGGGTAATATATTTGCCCCATATGACTGCAAAGAGAAATCCATGAGGGTATACCAAAAAAAGAATCGACAGCGAGCTGTTTTCCTCCATCTATTTGTTGGCCCTCGATTTTAATCTTTTTCCACGGGATTTTATCTTTAAAAGACCATGTGTGTATGAGAATAACACCCTTCACTGATAACACTTGACTTTAATCAAAGGTAAAAAAGAAGGCGTGTAGTGTTCAATGCATCTTTGATCACCTCCGCCATGCTGGGTAAATCTACAGATCTGTAAGGACAAAGCAGCGTTGTTGTCGCATTTAAGATAAATGCATGCTATGTAAGTCTGGTGAAATGTTTAAATAAAGCATGTACATCATGACAACATTAAGTTTCTGAAAAAAGATTAATTAATACATTAATTAATGGAATCAACAAGAACAATTGGGACCTGGTCAAATTTAATATTTTTAATTTATTACCTATGTATATGATGGGATCACGTAGAGAGACGCTCACAATATGATGCATTCCCAAAAACACGTATTTCTTCAATTTCAATGATAGGCCTAGATCAATGTATCTTTTCATTCGCTCATTTATTTAATCAGCTAATTAACCTATTAACATATTTATTTTCGACAAAGAGGTGATAATGCCATTTAACTGAGGTATTGAAAGCTTTAAAGGCACATATGTATGAACCGACCATCGGTGGAGCGTGGCTTCCCAGTAACACATATAAACCACTTCTACTAGTTTCTTATACGCCTCAAATAAAATCGACATGCCAAAGCATGCAGCATAGAAAGCTAGCAGAAAATTCCATTCAAATATCATTTTTCGGGTAATATGAAACAATATCTTTTGGTAATTCTCTTAGTTACACTATTTGAAACTATATGCTGGCATTTGTTTGGTATTTGTGGCAAAAATTGACTTTGTATGCATTTTTAAGTGAAAACTGTCCACATATTTTCTTAGGTATAATCGACCAGGAGGACGCATCACATCCATGTAATCGACCGTGCCAAGATGGCGCCGCCCCAATGACCTGCAAGTACGACTTCACCGTAGAATGGTACTACGTCCTGAGCAAGGCGTGTTACGACTGTCCCTTTAATAAGACCGACTGCGATCGCCCCCACTGCGTAGCTGCAGATGGAACGAAGAGGGCCATTAGTGTTGTTAACAGACGTTTACCGGGACCAGGGATTTTCGTATGTAATAAAAGTTATCAAATTAATGTAAAAAAAGTATTTAAACGCACGCACTGGGGTATGTTATCTGTATGCGTTGTGTCGTTTGGACTTATGCAAAGGTTTTGTAACCGATTTGACTCACTTTTTATCTTTTTATTGCCTTATACATTTAACTGTCTATATTATTTTATGTATTTATTTTTTGACTATATTCATCTTATTCTGTTCATTTTACCCCTGTAAAGTCCAGTGAACATTTCATATGGATTTCATATAAATAAATAAATAAATAAATAAATAAATAAATAATAATAATAATAATAATAATGACCTGAGGTACCGGGTCCAGTATAGCTGGCATATGAATATGATTTGAACTGATGGTGAATATTATTCTTCGCCACATCTAAGTTCAATCTTTACAACGACCTCACATTGCAAAGAAATAATGTTGACTTCTATATCCTCGAAACGAATACTATCATTAGCTCGAAATAGGAACCAAATTATCCATGACTACTCGAATCTAAATCCGTTTGCTTATTTGCCAAACAGAGCAAACTGCTCCTCAATTCTAGACATATTTGCCTATGGATTTGGGACTCCATTTCCTTATATTTGTTCTTAGATGGGATTGATCGCAAGGTCAATGGCCAGGTCCATATCTCGAAATTCGATAAGAAATGGCGCATCAATGTCAAAGTCAGTACTGTGCTAACAATCACGCATGTTAGACGTCTGGGGTTGTAGATATAATAGGCCTTTTCGGATTTGAAAACCTATCCATGGAATCACATGACCTTTGACGCGGGGGGGGGGGGGGGCAATGTACAGTTGGCCTTTAGGTCAACTGCCAAGTTAATACTAGAGTGTGTTGTGCATCGCTAAGAAAAGCGTTCTATGATGTTTAACTCCTACTGGCTACCTCGTAACGTAACGTTTCATAAAACAGAAACATTAGGATGCGTGGTGCTATATAGTAGATAGACATGTATTTGCACCATGATCATCAGTAATCATACCTCAGGTATATCTGGTGCTTAACGGAATTCGATTAATAGATGTTGAAGCCCTTGTTGATTTTTCTGGTCACGCACCTCCAGATTGTATAACAAGGTCAAAAACATCCCTCACTCCAGTTTTATATTTCAGATGGTAAGATTTATGCCCAGACATGTGTCCCATTCAGAATAGGGGACTAACTAGTCCGAGGGTCAAATATGGCGTCCCACTAAAAAGATTGCCGTCTAATCCGCTCATAGACACTGAACAGATTCCCCTCGGGGAAGTATACAAGTGGGTCGGCCATATTTGACCCTCGAAGAAGTTAGTCCCCTATTCTGAATGCGGCCAATGTGCTTTCTCAAATATTTGTTTCCAGGTGTGCTTAAACGACACCGTAGAAGTCACCGTCCGCAACAAGCTGTTTTCATCAGACGGTATCACCGTACACTGGCATGGCGTATTCCAGACAGGTACTCCCTACATGGACGGTGTATCCATGGTGACACAGTGTCCAATTCCGTCCCACAGCAAGTTTACCTACAGGTTGGTGACTAGAAAATCTATTTATACACATGGTCTCTCTCTCTCTCTCTCTCTCTCTCTCTCTCTCTCTCTCTCTCTCACACACACACACACACACACACACACACACACACACACACTCTCTCTTTCTTTTTCTCTCATCCCCCCCTGTCTCTCTCTCTCTCTCTCTCTCTCTCTCTCTCTCTCTCTCACCCACTATCACTCTCTCTTTTTCTCTCTTTTTCTCTCACTCCCCCTCTTCTCTCTCTCTATCTCTCTCTCACTTCGAGTGATTCATATGTTTTATCAAGAAGTCACGCATCCATTCAAAATATTGAAGGCATATATTTGCTTTTTAAACCTACCCCGGTATATCTCTTGCATTTTTGAAACACCGTATTTTCCTTTGATACAGATTCAAAGCTGGCAACAAAGGAACTCATTTCTGGCATGCTCATTCGGGTGTTCAGCGAGCAGACGGCGTTTTTGGGCCTCTGGTCGTCCGTCTGCCGCGAACAATAGACCCACACAGCGCGTTATATGACGAGGACCTCACAGAACACACCATCCTGGTGACTGATTGGTTGGGGGATTTGACAGTGAGCAGATTTGTTGCGCATCATCACAGGGACGGAGATAATAAGCCGCAGTCTATTCTTATCAATGGTAAATGAAATAATGCCTGATGTTCCAAACACCCGTATTGTCTAAATATCCCAATTTGTTTATGTTCTCTATAAACTTGATTAATGAAATTATTTCAAACTTTACTGATATATAAGTGATGTAATGATTCAATCTTATCCATCTGACAGAATCAAGTTTCAAGACCCTATCCATACTCATAAACTGCCCTTTCCAATATTGTAAAAAAACATTTGGGGTAAACTATGTTCCGTGTTTTAACACTGATCAACAAAATGCACTTATAGTCTAACAATTAGATATGGTATCAATTTTTGTAGGCAAAGGAGCGTATCAATTATATGGAAATAAAACAACCAACGAAACGTTTACGCCGTATGCTGTTTTCAATGTAGATAAGGGCAGGAGGTACAGGTTTCGTGTAGCTAGTAACGGGATTCTAAATTGTCCAATTCAGGTGAGCGCACACTAATTTAGTACCACAAGCGTGATCACCGTGATTCCTCGGGATTAACCCTTAACCACCGGCACATCTAGTCATCCACTAATACTTTTGTCTATGTTTAAACTGCTCCCTTTCTAAATGAAATCCCATGGTATAGGATCTATGTAAATCTTCTCACAAGAGTTAGCGTGTAGATCTAAATACTGTAATTGCATACTTTGTTTACTTTATTCACCTATTTATGTTCTTGTTGCGTATAGAAGTGACATAGGTAGTCAACATTTTTAATATGTAACATTAAAAGCTAAATAAATTATCATATTGGTTCGATAACATATTTAACTGCATAACTTGTTTAAGTGCATTCAAACGTAACTGTTCTAAGATAAAAGCGCCATATATATGTTATATCGTATCAAGTTTTTTCTCCAAGATCTCGGTGGATGACCATAACATCACCATGATCACCTCGGACGGTCGACCCTTTGAGCCCATCGAGGTCGAAACCTTCATCATATTTGCCGGGGAACGCTTCGACTTCGTCCTGAATGCCAGGCAGGCAGTTGGTAACTATTGGCTACGAGCTGCAGGACTCGCGGACTGTGACAGCAGCTTCAAGGGGGCACACCAGTTAGCTATTTTGAGGTATAGAGGTTCAGCAGAAGATGAGCCATTAGAAGAAAAGGGATACAATGCGTCTATTCGAACAGGAAAGGTTTGGGGAATTTTCTTTTGCTAAATGTAACAGTAGGAGTCAGCACAAATAGGCCATATAGCAAAATTCAGCTTTAGGTTTTATTAGATATAATACGTTTAGAAATAAATTGATCCATCCGAGATTGAACAGCTTATCTTAAATCTCTAGGCCACGTTGCTTAAACCACGTCTTATTTTTATTTTTTCAAATAGCTTCTCAATCCGTGGAACCGGAAAAAGGACGACATGAACGTCCCAGTTGTAGACCTCGTCAACACTGACCCTAACAATGCCGCCATTTCAAAACCTAACGCCGACGTCAAATTTTACATTGGAATGGATTTCAACAAAATCGACAATCTTTATTTCCACGACCCTACCTACTACCCAGTGTCTGCCATTGAATATAATAAGCATTTGTATACACCACAGTTTAACCACATATCAATAGAAGTGCCACCAGCTCCTCCTCTCAGCCAGTTGGATGATATCCCCATGGTAAGGACGCGTTAACGTGACAACAACATGGTCTCAAAGAATATTGAAATATTGAACGTTTCATCAATACTATATAATAACTAAACGCTTGTCTTAATTGAAAATCAGAGCAGCGTGTTTGGTGCAAAACCATTGCTAACATTGTATTGGTATCAAAGTGAAAGTTTTGATTCATCCATTGACATTCTACTAAGATAAGATGGAAACATCGGGACCTTCGATTAACGTAAGGTCCAGTATTATTTCATTATCTTATTTGTAATTGATTCCATTCTTTCAGGAACGGGTATGCAATCATACCACTCACACAGACTGCACTACGAGGTTCTGTGAATGCATCTACCTCCTGAAAGTAAAGCTTGGAGACGTGGTGGAACTGGTTCTGGTAGACGAAGGCTTTGCCTTCAATGCTAACCATCCCATACATCTCCACGGCCATGCATTCTGGGTGGTTGCCTTACAGAAGGTGAGTGCACAAAGTTAGCTGTATATGGGATCAGGAATAACAGAAAAGATAGGAGATTCCCACTCTTTATTCATAATAAAAACGTTCGAAGGGATTGTTGTAGAAAGGTTATGAGATTTTTGGTGGTGGTGGCGGTGGCGGTTGGAGGTTCTTGAAGAAACATCGAGTCAACATTAAGATAAGCTGCGGATTTTTGGGAATTTTAATGTGAAACTGATAATAATCATGTGAAATTTTTCTTACATGTTGTCTTAGATGTAAACCAAATTAAAATTCAAAAGATAACATCGTATTGCTGCAGATTAAAAGGAGTGAATATCATTTAAAGCCACATCTGCCTAAGTCCAACTCTCTGGACTACACACTTGATACACCAGATGCAAATTTGCATCTTTTTTCTTTTCTTCCTTCTTCTTCCTTTCTCTCTTTTTTATTGTAATCGGTGTAAGGTTGTTAAACGCGACATATCTTTATATTATGACAGATATTATTTTGTTTTTAGATAAGTGAGTCCATTACATTGGACAAAGTGAAGGAAATGGACAGGAATGGTCAAATTCGACGCACCTTGACTAATGCCATCAGAAAGGACACGGTCACAGTACCGGATGGCGGTTTTACGGTTATTCGATTCGTCGCCGATAATCCGGGTGAGAGGACTTACACATATGCATACAAACTTATGAAAGCGTTCTCATGCGTGAACACATTATAATAATGATACTTTATATTATCATATTTGTTATAATCATAATAGTGATATAAAGAAGTTACAGTGTATTAGATGAACAAATCATGAAACTTCGGTGAATGTGTTCTATTAGACTAATCTGTAGAGACAAACACGAAGTCAATAACATTACACGTTCTGAAATGATAGCTGTAACGTCTATTCAAAGACAAACGAATGCGTTCACATACCGATTTGCACGTATTACACATAAACACACACACACACACTCAGGGCCGTAGCCTCCGGGGGGGCAGGGGGGGCAGCTGCCCCCCCTGGGATTTAGAATTTTCCACACTGGTAGGGGGACACCCCCTCCCCCCTCAGGGGCTTCGCCCCCTTGTGTCCGCTTACTGCCCCCCCTGGCATTTTGCTCAGGCTACGGCCCTGCACACTCACACGTGCACATTGATAAAATGTAAATAAGAATACATCCACACATAGTACAATATGACGGACTTTTCATGCCTATGTATTCTCTCATCTGTCAGATGTCAAACTGACCTTTCCTCAAAAATTCAGATACTACATATGTCCTCTTTTTTATTATCTATTTACTTTGCATTTAGGTATTTGGTTCATGCACTGCCATATAGAATACCACGTGGAGATCGGGATGGGATTGGTCTTCCAAGTAGGCGAACCCGAACAGTTCCCGCCAAAACCAAAGAACTTTCCAAAATGTGGAGACCGGAAAGAAGAAGATGACGACACAGGTGCAAACACGACGAGCTGCCGTGTTTGGGGTTATTCCAGTTCTGTGCGCGGAGTATCAGCTACTGATTCTCTAATTGTATTTGTGGCGCCTGTCACAGTTCTGGTTTCAACATTTACTGTCTAAACGTATTAAAGGCCATGTTTTCCTGTTTAATGTATCTAAATGAGCGTTTTTATTGATGGTCATTATATGACTTAAAAAGAATGGTGAAAATGCATGTTAGTTAGCTTTTAATGGTGCCTAATGGTGATGAATTAATGCGCAGCCAACTGTAAGTCTTAATTCTTTAAATGCGAGCAGATGCAGTGATTTCAATGACTATACATCTGTAACGTTGGTAAAGAACTAAGGACGTGGTCAAAATTATTTATGCTAAATATTTCGCTCGTATAATTCACTCCCTGTGCATTCCTGTCCATAAACCCATGAGTCAACAGACAGCTTGAATGACTGCACATGTTCATGTTGTTGTAGCTTTGTTGCTTTTTGAAACGGATGGAAAAACAGCTGTGCGAATATCAGTTGCCACGTAAGTTCTGGTGACAAAAATGGTGCAAATTGCTAGAGCTAGTTTTGGTCATACAAAGCGTCATCTCAATGTGCTCGCAGAAGACAACAATTCTTTATTGACCTGAAAATTATGCAAAAGGACTAGACTGTTTTCTCTTGGTTAACATCACATCGAGGACTGTTAGGATGCTGTAGACTGTGTGCTGTAAGGGGGAGAGAGGTCCAGACAACTGCATGGGCCGAGCTGAGGCAGGTGTTTTTGTCGAGGGGTGGCTTTATCTGAACCATCACACTCCAGAAACTGATATCACACTCCAGAAACTGGTCAGATCAGTATCACGAAGAATTTTGGACCTCATTCGTGTATGTGGCAAATACCCGAGACAGTTAAAAGATTTATTCTTAATAGCAAGGAATTGGCTTTGGGTGATTCTGCTTTTTTACTCTTATTCCTGCTTTCTTGAATATGACGTTTGCTCTTCTCTATAAATTGTCAACAATTTACTAAATTTGTAATTGATCACAAGGATGAACCCAAACGAAAACACACAATAAATATATTGTTACCGAAATGCAGAGTTTGGAATTATAATAAAGCACTAAAAAACTGGTTGTAAATTACATTTTGTCGTAGCCAGTATAGAATTACAGCATTCCATCATTTTAGCAAGAGTGTATTTGCAGGTGACAATGTGTGCAAAACCCCAAACCATTAGAAAACCCAATAGAAAATATATAGATTGTTTATATATTGAGCTTTTACCAACAGACAAAATATAGTCTCACAAAATTCGCAAATATCGGACACCGTGCTAAAATAGCAGTCCTGCCGCGAACTTTAGCGGTACTTAAGATTGAAAATGTATGAATCTAAACGTTGACACAAGTTTACTAACTTATACTTCATACAATTTTCTCAAGTTGTGCAAGTGTAAATTTTCATCATCACGTTATCACGACAGCTAGACTAGCGTCCACGTCACTTGTTGAATGTCAAAGCAATGACAACGGACTCCTCATAGGATATTCAAATTTCACAAATACATAGGAAACAACATATTAAACTATTAGTAATTGCACTGTACCACTAAACAGGTGGCTATCAGTGCCTTTCCTCCCCGAATCACTTTCATACCGTTTGCTTAGCTATGCCACCTACCGGTCAGTGAGTAGAAACATCTGCTCACTTCAGTCTGATGAAGGCCTACGTCCAGGTTGGCCATAAGCCAACGGTATGAAGGTATTTTTTGCTTATGTTTGATAATTTTCATTTATGAAAAAACAAGTAGCTTTAGTCAGTTCACTCATCAGATGCTTACAACTCGAATGCAGAATTGCGCCCAATGCCCACCATATTTGATAAACTACGCTTTATACACCCTCATAATAATCAAAATACAATGCCAATACCAATACCAATACACTCAATACAATTATATAATTAGTTTTATTCAAAGACCCAGCAAATTTCACGAGAGTTGCTGCCGAGATTATTCAAGGGTGCACTTAATTATAACCTCATTTCATCTCACGATCTCCTCTCTTAGAGTAGCTTTTCACACATACCTTCTTCGTTTCTTTTTTTCTTTTAATTCCTGTTTATTTTTTTCCTTTTAATTCCTATGTTTATCTTTTTCCTAGTTTTTGAAGAGGTCTTGGGTCATGCTATGCCATCATCTTTTTCTTGTACCATTGTCTTTTTCCTTCCATAGTTATTTTTTTCTTATTCCATTTTCTTTTTTTTCCACCCACAGTTATCCATTCTTGTTCCATTGTCTTTTTCTTCCGCAAATTTAAAATGTCTACGCTGCGCAACAAAGGAAGGTATGTAACTTGTGGACGGAATAATACCCGAGTATCCAATTCCGAATTTGCTTTTTGAAAAAAAGCATGTGATGGAAGGCAAGACCCTCGCATCGAAGATAAAGATGTAGATTAATGCTTGCCGCAGAACAAAGAGTATACTTTGACGTGTGGTCGGTACGATATCCGTAAACGGTATCATAGTTTCAATCTCGTCCTGAGAAATAAATTAAGCGTTATTAGCACGATTCAAAGACGTCGAATGTTTTCATAGATTCTTTAAGCCGTGCATGTGTGCGTTGGAAGCAGATATAAGGGACATCATGAACGCGATTACATGCGGTCATCGCGTTCGTCAAAAAACGATAGAATTACATCGTAGTGAAAGTGCAAAGTGAGGCGTACCATAATGTCCTACGCTTAACCATTCCTTAAAACGCGAGTCCAAGAAATGATGGGTATTTCGATAACTTCAAACTCACAGATCTTTTCACTAGTTCAGAGCGACCTCGAAACATTCCATGCCACCAGTATAGAATGCCACTCGGTTGTTTAGCGTACACGTAGTGTTTAGTAAAAACGTTATCATAGGGTTTTTATTGTTTGTGCAATGTATAGATAATGTAAAACATTTAGGAAAAATATTAGGCCCATACGTTTCAATAATCGTGTCAGAATTTGTGTTCAGGTAGGTATAAATTAATTAGCCTTCAACTATTTCTACAAAGAAACACCTGAGTGCAATAAATACTTTCGAAAGTTGAAATGTACTCCTTATAGCAAAAGAAAATATGACCGCGCATTGTTGATACAAACCAATTATTCACCGACCAAATCGAAACTTTAACGTTCTTCAGAAGCGTTGATGAGCATTACAAAATGTCTGGAGAATGCTTTGGTATCGGCAAGGCGTGGTCTCAGTATAAAGAGGCTCGGAAAACATCTTCAAAATGCAAGCAATTTTGTAAAACGTCAAGCGTCTTACGAAGGCGTCATACGTAAAACCATATCGAAGACGTCTTCTTGCCCAAGACCAATGGTTGATTAGGACAATGCTATTAGTGATATTTCTCTCATTTTCATTGGCTACCATCTGCCAATCCAAAAATGATAGGCAACTCTTCAGGCAACTCTTCATGAGGAATAAAGAAACAAAAGGCGCGTCCTTAGCTATTAGTATATAAACCTTACAAAGCACCGCTATCTGATGTTCAGAATAATTGGAGCCAATGCACGACATGAAGGCGATCCTAATGCTGGCATTATTTGTCCTCGTCAGTCTAGGACAGGCGCAGACCGGTGATGCTCAATCCTTGGAAAACTCGAGTCATTTCTCAACTTGGAGTAATGCTGCAACGCCATTTTTCATGAGAAACGTCAGTTTCGGCGGTAAACAGTCTGTGGAGGGGGAACAAGTGACGGCGAAAATGGTGAAGAATGAAGGTTCTGGTCTCTCCAGCTTCACAGCAGAAGTGCCCAACTTAAACCCAAGAGACATGAGTGCACGTCAAAACGCTTCTGAGTTGGCGGACCATTCCCACCATTCCGTCGCGATAATGTGGACCAACGATGAAGCCAATTCAACAGCAGATCCAACCAGAGGTTTGATTCCATTCAACGTCACAGTGAACAACCCGATCTGTGTCATAGGAAACGGCATGTGGATTAACGACGTGGTTCTGGTAACCTGCTTCTGTGACGATCTGTGTGACGTGTTTGGCGACTGCTGTTGGCCGTACGACAACCACTGCAGGGAGACAAAAGTCACGGGGGTTGAGATAAGCAGCAATGACACAGAATGCTGGTTACAAGGCACCAGGCAGATATGGGGCGTTGGCAGTAAGTACTTTTGGATCGTCTCCTCATGTCCAAGTCATTGGCATGATGAAAATGTCCGCCAAAAATGTGAGTTCAAAGGCTGGTCTGACGACATCGATATCATGCTGCCTGTCTCATCAACGGAGGCAAACGTCACATTCAAAAACATTTTCTGCGCTACCTGTCACAATGTTTTGTCACACAAAGCGTGGAAGCCCATGATTGCGTGTGACAATGCAGAAGTTGAGACTCATTTTCAAAGCCTTTGGACCGTTGCTGAGATTTTGAAGAAGGTTTTTATGATAGACGATTGCTTGATATTCTTTGATACCCCCGACTACTACCCCGGACGCCCTTGTATCGGACCTGGGGGAAGTCACAGTCCCGACGAGGGTTCCAATGACGGGGTGTGTCTGAACGACGTTGACCCCGAATTAGAAAAACTTTGCATGTTTGGGCCTTTCTCGTTGACATACTATAAGGGAATTCGGGGTCACTCGTTTGGTCGGAACATATTCTGCTGGCTTTGTCGTCTGCCCGCGGACTTTTCCATAAGTATCCGAGAATGTGATGGTTTCGGTGAGTTATTTTAGTGTGGAGTAAAATCCATATTGTTTGCCGTCTTAGCTAGTTCAAGGCGCGTTTTGTTATCGATTAATTGTAGAATGTTTGTCCACTTGTTCCTTTTAACGTTTAAAAATGTCCCCGTATGGTTGTCATAAAATGTTACAACGTTGATCTTTATCGTTTGGTGTAGCTGAAAAATGTTCTTCAAATTCTCTCTAAAATTATGAAATTCTTTTTCATCATCTTCTTCTTTTTCGTCTTATTTTCATTATAATTTCAACCCGTTGCCCAGCTATTTCAATTTATACATGCCAGCATCCTCAATAATGTAATATCTGCTCTATCAGACAGAACCGAGAAACATTAGAAGCTTCTTCTTAATGATTGCACACACAGTTTCTATGGACATTTAAAAATTCACCTTT